AATATCAACCAATTGACAAGTAATATGTAATATGGATAACAAATGCTCATTTATTTAATTCACTACTCAATTTCAATAAGAATATTACCAGTGACAATCAGAAAATACGACTGTGCTACTTCACTTAAAATTATAATAATTTAATTCTGGTTGTTAAGCTGTATTTGATTGGATAAAAATTTTACTTTATATCTTATAAAATGGGTTGCCTAGGTCACAATGACTTGCGTTAAAAACGTATCGATCCGCCTGACGTAACATTCAAATTTTGTACAAACTGGAGTCATTTTGTTATAACAATCATCTTTTTTTCTTACATCAAATGAATGGAAATTAAATTATAAGCATTATTCGCGGTTTATAAAGCGTACACTGCCCCAACCCAGTTTATACCGTATAAAATGGGGAGCTATTAAATTCATTCCTTAAGAAAAATAAAAATTATGACATTTACATCTCCATTGTTACGTCATAATACCGCATGTGACGTCAAAAAATATTATGCACTCAGTTTTGCTCTTAAAATGACGGTTGAATGTCGTGAACTTATAACAAGTCATCAGAAAAATAATGTAAATATAAGAAGGATATGGAGATAACGAACAGTATTCAACCTCAACGTCCATTAAACAATATACAAAATAAGAGCAGAGCAAACACGGACCTCCGAAACATCAGAGGTGGGATCAGGTGCCATGGAGGAGTGAGCATCCCCTGCCAACCGGTCACACCCGCCGTGTGCTCGTTGTCATGATCAGGAAATCCGTCGTCGATTCCGTGTATAAATAATGGACTAACAATTGGTATGAAAAACGTCAGTCAGCATTTGATTCAGTGATAAATTGTATTTGCTGACAAGGTCATTGTATCGACCATAGAATTTACGAAATGATGACTTTAAACGAGACTGTTGGTATTCTTGTTTCATCAACTTGTTTGTCAATAATTTACCTCCTTTAAGAAATTGTTCATACGTAGAGCACGCTCTTGCGTATCGAATCAACTGAGATATATCCACTCCTTATGCAGGTGATGAAGGTATATTGCTGCATAAGTAAGGGAAGATGACAATAGAAAAGTTAAAGTCATCACGTTTATCATATAGCTCGGTTGTTAGATTACCATTATTGACTTTTTCAAATAAATTATCCAAGTATGAAGCAGAAGTGTCGGACTCTGTGGTATCTTTTACCTCAAGCTCACCAAGATATATCGTATCGACTTAGGAATGGAAATTATCATTATTAATTGACAATACGTCGTCGGTATATCTAAATGACGAGTTGAAGGCCACAGCAAGTGTTTTCTTCTTTTCACGCATAAGATTTTGCATAAATTCTGCTTCATATGAATATAAAAATAAAAAATGAATTTAATTCATGAAGATTCAAGAGGTATATGAACTACAACACTTAATTCATGCCGGCGCAAACGCGTTTCATGAAATATGCTGGCATGAAGTGTCGTAGCTCATAACCTCATGAATCTTCAAAAATTAAATCCATTTTCCTGTAGTTTTTAAAACATAACTTATTTGATTAATTCGCTATTGCATACAGTACATAACGCATGCCAAGTTGTAATTATTAACGCGTTATTTTTGCCCCCCTTACAAGGATATTCTGGAAATGAATGCCCCCTTACAAAGATATTTTGGAAATGAATGAAAGCACAAAACAAGCCGTATGAAATCAAGCATTGAAGATAGTCAATAAGAAAAAACAGGATATTATTTAAATCAGTTTTGTTTCATTATCAGAATAAAACCGATTGTTTTTTCATAAGTCGATACTTTGTATAATAATTTATTAAGAGTCCAAAACTTAGTGTTTTCTACCCGATTATATATTAGCACCTTATGAAGACACTCCAAATCTGCTTATTTTTCTCTGTCGCACCAATAATGAAAATCCTGCATCCGCGCCTTTACAGATAACACAGTACAGAAATCACGTGATTCAAATTTCCTGACTTGTCGGTCTATAAATTTTGTAAAACAGGTTAGTTTGCTTTCACATCCCCATTCTTCCAAAAAATTTTTCTTTATTTATTTCTGATGATTATCAAGTATTTATTTGAAATTTTAACAATTTAAATAGCGACAGATTCTACTTTCGATTTGCCACGGAAAGAATGAGGTAACCTAGTACATTTAGGAATGATAACAGATGTAGCTGTTATTGTAAATTTGCAGATTAAACACACTTTAATAGAAATCTATGAATGTTGAATTTTTAACCTAATGCTATTTGAATTGAATTGCATCTTGTCGAGAATTTTCCCGAAGGCCAAGGGCACTGGAAGTTTATAGCCTATGTATACCCAAACAGAAAAAACAGCCTATCGGATCATGCTAACAACTCATGTGTAAATCATGGTTTTGATATGATTTCGGTATAGGAAAATTTCACATGCAAATGAGCTAATGGATCATGGTTCTGAGATGATCTGTTAAACTAAACAACTAGCAAGAAAACCATGATCCTGGTATGATCTGTTGTAGAGCTAACAACTCGTATTAAAACCATGATCCTGGAATGATCTGTTGTAGCTAACAACTCATATTAAAACCATGATCCTGGTATGATCTGTTGTAGCTCACAACTCGTATTAAAACCATGATCCTGGTATGATCTGTTGTAGCTCACAACTCGTATTAAAACCATGATCCTGGTATGATCTGTTGTAGCTAACAACTCGTATTAAAACCATGATCCTGGTATGATCTGTTGTAGCTAACAACTCGTATCAAAATCATGATCCTGGTATGATCTGTTAAATTGAACAACTCATAGGAAAATTCTACTTCTTATACAATTTTACTAAACACTTTGATATTTGCAATAAAGTTCTCTTTAATATTTGATAAATAATTTCAGTTACCAAAAATTAAGAAAAATATTATACACTTATGTCACATGAACCATGACGTCATATAAATATAATCCCAACAAATGATCTTCCTTAATAAGATGATGATTTAAATATAAAACATTATCCAAACTATTCACTGAATTGTATAAGAACTGCAGAATCACAGAAGAACAGAATCACAGAATCACAGAAATCCATTCTTCAAAGAATAATCCGGAACTCACTGATATCACTGCTTATTTATGATTACAACATCTGTTCACTACAGAATCAGCAGAGTGGTGGATCTATTATTCAGAATCACAAACACTGAAAGGGCTCTCAATGAAGTAGTCTATCCTCTGATATACGCTCTTCATATATGTGTACATAAGCACCTTTAAAAGAAACGTAGAGAAAGTGGTATTTATTTATCAATCAACATATCATTATCTTTAGATCATGAAAATATGAAATCTTCAAGTACTTTCCCCATTGCATTAGTGAAAAGAATTAGATTAATCACCAAAAGAATACTATTGTTGAAATGTAATATTATTTACGTACACAAATTTTGTCTTCACCAAAGGCGGATCTTTTGAATTTGTGAATTTGAATGCAACTCAGATGTTAATCATGAAGATGGAAATGTCTGTAGCTGCAAAAGAATTTCATTTTTATAAATAAACATTTTATATAACGATTAACATGTACATGTACATGTACAACAAATATTTGAATCAACAAGGTCAAATTGATGCTTAAATTAAGTTTTTAGCTCATAGGATATATACGTTGCAAACTTAATCAAATTCAAAACATATAGTGTGTAGATACCATAGGAACTTGATAAGGATTTTCAACTTAAATCTACGGGAAAAAATTATAATAGAAACATAACTTGATCTTGAAACTTTGATCAACTAAGTGACTGTATTCTAATTCCAAAAACAGGTAAAAGAAAAGGAATTAAAATCTTTATGCAAAAATAACAGTAATATCTGAAGTATTTATTTATAACATGTTTTAAAAAGATTAAAATATTTATATGAACAAAATCAATAGCATCAAATGTAAAATAGAATAAGAGAGAAAGTTGATAATTTGAGAATAAAACCGGGAATAAGAACGGGAATAGGAATGAGAGCGGGAACGAAAACGTGAATACTCTTTTCTGACCAAAACAAGGTATTTTTTGCTCGGTGGGTATCCATGGACCCGGATATAAAAATGCATTGCATTGGCTAACCCACCATCACTAACCACCTACGCTTTGCCCGTAGGTCTGTCCGTTGACCTATGAACCCCAGCATGTCACCACCCTTAAATGCAGGTAAAAACTCATTACTAATATTTATGGGCTCAGTCCCCATCCCTGCACCACAGGAGTTCAAGCTTTATTGCTCTTAGTCAAACCTCTTTATAATACCATAATTGTATTTCCGTTCAAAGTTTATTGCTTACTATCGATGGGCTTGATTGGTCTATTCGGATCAATTTTATTACAAAATATTAATTGATTTACCAAATTATAGTGCATTTGAACAACAACAAAATCAAATTTGTTTTAACAAGATTATAATAGTTTACAAAATTAAAGTCCTTTTTCCAATTATAAAGTCACCGAATTTGAGTCACTAATAATATAAATTCTGACTTAATAAACCTTTATATCATTTTTCTTTCTCTACTAATAATTAAAAAAGATTATGATATTAACATTGTCTAAGTTTAAAATGTTCAAACAATATGTCTGTGCTAAACCCTATAGGTTTACAATATCCTTGTTTTGAGGAATTACAGTGCAGACTGCAAATTCACATATTTTCGTAGGGTCAAATTTTCAAGGTTTTAGAAAGAAATATTGGTTTGCTGGGATTTGGTTATGAGGTTGGAGAAGTGCTGGTTGGAGAAGTGTTGAGTAATTATGCATATGAAATATTTTAACATTCCGTGGTGCTCATAAATTCAATAGTCTCTCAATACTTGGAAACAACGAAAATTAAAATTCCACAAAAATTAATGATTTCAGAGTATATTTTTAAATATATATATATATAAATCATAAATTAAAGGATTATGTTTCCTATTTGAAGTTATTTCCTGTACCAAGTGAAAAACATCGTCCGCTTTCGTTACGTTCCGCCTTCTGTTCTTTTTCCCTCTCCGTGTTTTAGAAACATCCCTCTTTCAACTGACAAAACCGGAAAAAGACGCATATAAACGAATGATATCTGGGTGCTCCAAAAATGTTTGTATACATGTTTTGAATCATAAGGTAAAAAAAAATTATCATAGTTTTACAATTGCCTCACTATTTTTCATTTAAGCACAATGTTTAAAATCATTGAAAATTAGTAGAAATTTTAATGTTGTTAATCTTCTGTTTGTCCATGTGGCATGTCATATTGATCGAGTCATTCGAGTGAGTGATAGATTTCAACAATGATAAGATTACGAACACGTTTGATAATCTACACATATCGGGAAACTGTGTCGTTTGTATTTTTCTAGTGCTTTGTTCAGTGTTGTTTGTTACAAATACTTATTAAAGGTGAATAATTGTTACATTTTGATGCATTTTGTTGGGGCGTATTATAAAACATGTTTTGGTCCAAACTGGCCTGAAAACTTTCAAGTACTTTTAAGGGTAGTCTGATCCCAAGTTTTATAAAGTTACCAGGTAGAAAATTCAATTGGCACACAAAAAATATCTCGAAATTTACCAAAATATAAATGGTAATTAACCAATAATAATTATTGAAAGTTAATCATTAAATTTTATCATATTGAACAGGGAAAATTATAAAATATCCAATCTATATTCGGGAACAGTAAAAAAAAAAAGAAACATCAACCTTGATTTTCTAATATTGTAGATTGATCAACAAATATACTGAAGGTTAAAAACTATAGGTACAAACATCCAGACATTTAGTAAAATTTTTAAAACTTACTCAGTATTATAGGTCTTCTATTTCCTTCAGTTATTATCTAATTCATATTTTACATAGTGTGTGGTATTATTGCCAAACTTACAGATCACTTCTAATTTTATATCATAATGAAAAGCATTGGCATTTCAGGCTAGATGAACCATACAATAAAAGAAGAAAAGTTTTCAGTTTCAAGCTTAATTATTGGACTTTTTGATTTGTATAATAATTTAAAAAGTTGTCTTCCTGGCTGAAGATAAGATATAAAAAAAGGACTCGAGAATTTGAGGACGATGCGGTTTTTATCCAGATAACTGGTTGAGAAGCAAAAATCATGTATTGTATTTGAGATTAACAATAGAAAAGGTATATAAATCAGGTCTTCTGATTTTATAGTCTTGTCTGTTCTTCAATGGAGAAAAGAGCTGTGCCCTTCTATTAGCTAGGATTTCCTTTGATATTCAAGACAACATCACAAAATGTGTAAGCTGCATCATAGAATACGCCAACAAAGGAACTTTTATTCATAACATCATGTTCACAGAATAATCCGTTTATTTAAATAAATCTATGTTTAAAAGATGTTACGCGTTTTTAAAAATCTGACTTTGAATAATTTAAACTAAAGAAGCACATGTTAATATTGAGGACGTGATATTGTCTTGCTTTTAATCCGAAGTGCTGAAATGATTAAATCTGATTTTACCGTTTAGTTATATGATTATAAATGATAAAATGCCTGTCGAAATATTTGTGCAGTAAAAATGTGTTCTGGCATAGCATACAATAATTTACTCTAGCACACTAAATGATAACTGTATAAAGATAATGGGAAATCCAAAACAAAATACATTATACATGTATTAACTTGTATTTTCTACATATTCTACAGTTTTACAATTTTCTATTGACCAAACATTCAATGTGTTTGTACTAAATGTCGGAAGTTGGAAGTCATTTCTGAGTTGTAACATGCACACTTATTGATATTGTTTTTCCATATAAACAAAATAGGACATAACAAACGGCTATCAATATATCAAAATATCATCCTTAAATGTAGAGTTTTTCGTGAAAAAAAATCCAAAATTACAAAAATAAAATAAATAACACTATATATAATAAAAATCAGGGTGAAAGGACATTCCTTAATATGACATTTGATTATCCTTGTCTCTTGAGGAAGTAATATCTTTTTTAATTTATCTTTTTTCAGACTTAACAAGTACTAACAATGGCAACGGCACAAGGCCAAGACATCATAGCATGTTCATTATGTCAAGAGCCAGTGGAATTTTATTGTAATCTCTGCTTCACAGATTTATGCAGTAAATGTGTTCTGATTCATTTAAAAGACAAGACGAAAAAACACCAAGTAGTTGAATTTAGCGATAAAAAGTGCTCACTCGTCCTTCCAGACTGTAGTTCTCATGACAACAAGTGCGAAACGTACTGTTGTGATTGTGATATACCAATATGTATAAAGTGTGTAACAGATTCGCACAAGGGACATGACTTTTCAGATCTTGAAAACGTGATTGAAAATCGGAAGAAAGAGATAAGTTCAGATATAGAGGAGCAAAAAGCACTTTGCATCAGGTACCAAAAATTAAAAGATACTATTTTGCCCCAGGAAAAGGATTTCGAAGACATTATCAGGAAGATATCACAAAGAGAAGAGGAAGTCATAAAGTCTATCCGCAATACTGCTGAAAAAGTTAGATCAGATGTCTTAAAAGAGAGGGCAGAAATTATGACACATAATTCTGAAAATATGTCAAAAATTTTGAATGCACAACAACATTTACAACACGCCATTGAACAAAACGAAAAAACAATGGAATCCAGATTTGCCATTGATGTTTTAAACTACTGTTCAGTAAATAAACCATTTCGAGACTATCCATGTTCTTTCGAAAATGAACTCCCTGTTTTTTCGTCCGGACTATCAGACGAAGAACAGATATCTGTTATATTTGGATACGTATCCAATAAAAATGCAAATCATAGTAAAAATTTGCACTTGCAATTGCCAAATGCCATCCATTCAGTACTGACAACAATTCAATCTCCATTCAAATTACTCAGAAATATACACTGTGCAAATAACGGCATTATTTGGGCATGTGGATATGATAATACAATCAGAAAATTCGATCATTCTGGCTACATCTTACAAACAATAAAAAATGTGCATAACGGTGAAAGTTTTTCCATAAATACAGAAGGAGATGTTTTGTTTATCGCAAAGAAGCCAGTTGGGGCAATATATATATTTAGAGAGTCTAAATTCAAACGCTATTTATATTTTGAAAAATGGTTTCCTACAGGACTTCACTTTTCAGGAAAAGAAAATTTTTTAGTTAGCCTTCGCTCAACATCTACAGCACATAGTAGAATTGGAAGATTCCACAAAAAAGATGAGATACAGCAAATTCAATACGACAGACAGGGATTGCCTTTGTTTTCTACCAACAGCGAAATGATTTTGCCTTTAATCGAGAACAAATATGGAGATATCTGCGTTGCTGACATGGGAGGAAAGACAGTTGTCGTTGTGAATAAATCTGGAGAACTTCGATTCAAATACAGTGGTAACATTGCCATCCAATCTACTTTCAAAGAGTTCACTCCTCGACATATCGCTGCTGATATATATTGCCAGATTCTCATAGGTGACAGTGCAAATGATATCGTTCATATCATTGACTGTGAAGGTAACTTTGTCTGTTATGTTGAGCACCCATGTAAAGGAGGACTAAGTATTGATACTGATCATAATATTGTCGTGGGTGATAGAGAAAATGGTTTAATTAGAATAGTAACATATTAAAACAATACAAAGAGCAGTGTAACTACCTTGACTGTAAATTTTTCTTATTGTAGAAGACTCTATTTTTTAAGAATTGTAATATTATGTGACGTCATGGTTAACATTTCACGTAGAAATAAGGCTCCATCGAATTTTTGTATCCTTTACGGTGCTGCCAAGGCATACATGGTAGATTTGACAGTGTACAGGAGACGATAACTCGTCAATGACAGTCATTTCAGAGTTTGTGTTTGCTCTGCTTACAATATGTACTGTTTGTTTAGACTTTTGACTATGAAACATGTAAGTGCATGCTTGACATATTTTATTTTCATATTTTTATGATCTAAAAGAAAATATTGGATCATTTACACGAAGTTTTCCTATCTGAAAAATGATTTTATTTCTCTAAATCAATTGATAAATAATTCCTGAAAAGTACATTGTTTCAAAACATTAGGTGTTAGCTCTTTTCTGACACGTTTGATTTTGACTCTAGTCAATTCCTTCTTGGAAGGAAATTACACGTAAGTCAGTCGGTTGGTATAGCAAAGCCATGATTTTTTTAAGAAGGACAGAGATCTGTATTCCTATTTACCTAAAAGATAATACAGTCAAACTTGTCTTAGCGGCCATCCAGAAATCAACGGCCAATCGCTGTCAGCGGCCACTTTCAGTTCCCCCCGACGATTTTTCCTATATATTTTAACTGGAATAAACGGTCACCTGTGTAACGCAGCCAGCGGCCACTCAAATCCTCCCCCAACAGCCTTATTGACACTGTAATAGGCGGTCATTTCGTCACTTGTTGCGATCCTATCACATCTTTTAAACGCATTGGCTTGGGTACCCCAGTAATTATATCCTCGACAGTCAATTTAACCTATTAATGTAATTAAAAAAATGTCTTTAAGATACGCTGAACACTATTTGTGTTTTGTGAAAAAAAAATATATGTCCTGTTAGATCAATTTGTAATTATTTTTCAAGATCGCCAATTGAAAAATTAAAAGAATTAAATTTCATTTGATACTTTCCTCTAGCTAAAGAAATTCACACCTTTTAGATTTTGATTCCATGTAGAAGCCCTAATTAGGGCCCCGCAAGGATTTGCGGGTGCCCTATAGTAATCACTCCATCTGTTTGTCTGTCTGTCATTCTTCCGTCCACAAATTTTCTGTTTTTTCTAATAACTTTTTTTATACCAATTAAGTTCAAATTTGGTATGGTAATTCAGTAGGCAGAAAGACATATTATGATGCTAAGTTTGGTTCTCTATGTCTTCTGGTTTAGAGCTGGGTGGTGGGGTAGATTACTTAACTAAGAATAAGAATGAATGGGAAAAGAGAGATAACTCCTGAGAATATTCCCATTGTAAACTGTGAAGGCTGTGCAGTGTGTCCTTTGGGATTAATTAACCTTCCATTTGAACAAAATTCTTAGCATTATCTTTATCTGTCACATTGAGATTAATTTCTATAATGCCTTTGTCTGCAAATGAAGTCTGTTATGAAGTTAAGGTCAATTTTGAATGATGTGTACATTCTTTGAAATATGAATTTAAATACTGGTAATGTTCATGCTTTATTTTGGTTAAAATACTCTACACAATGATTTATGATTTTATTAAATTCTAAAAACAAGATATAAACTAAGATTATCTTTTTTTACTGTTATTATTGCATTTTTTTTTAAAAATGATTCATTTATTTGTTTATTTTTTTTTTGGCTGCCTTAATGCTAGCTGTTAATTTTAACAGGTAATCAGATAATAACCCGATTCTGTCATTGCTGAAAAAAGTTCTTATTGTAAATTTAGAAGAAAAGGATGAGAGAGCAGTACAATTAATCCCCTGGGATTAATTAGCTTGCTTGCTGCAGAAAATTTAGAGGCTTATCTTTATCTGTCACATGAAGTGTAATGAACACCTTTGTCTGCAACTGATGTTCGTTTTGAAGTTGAGGTCAACCCTGGGTGATATTAACATTAATTTCACTGAAAGCTAGCATTTTATAAAACACCTGCTTAAATCTTTTTTTAAATACACATTTAACGTAGTTTTTATATAGACATGAGGTTTTCCCTGTTTTATGTAAATACAAGATTACTATTTACAGGTTTTTGGACATTCAGGAATTATTTTGAAATTTTAAAAATACTGTTGTTGCTTATATTCTTTATATATCTTTTTAAAAATGTAATCAAGTAAAATCCTCCTTCCATGAGTGCACCCTTATATTTCTACCCCTCAGCGGGGCCCTTGCTGACTGGTCAGTTTTCTAGTTGCTACTCTGGTGAAAACAAAGTGTTTCATATGCCATGATTATCTCGTGAATTTTACTATCAAGAGACGATCGATAGGGATTAGTTACGCTCTACTGCACGTGACACCTGTGTTATGGAATGATTTTCAACTGCGTAAATACATCAACTACTGTAGATCACTAAATTTTCGCGACACCTTATTTTAGCGAGATTGTCATTGACTCTTTGTAAGCGAGACATAATTTTCACGAATAGTTGTTATTACTCTATATAATCGTAAGGAATACTTTTATACGCGAGAAATAAATTTTCGCGAACACATTGTCTCGCGTAATTACGCTAAAATAAAGTTTTCGCGAATAAAAAGTGATTTACAGTAGTTAATTTTATTTGTGTGTCTGTGTATATAGAAATTCTGACAGCTTTATAAACAATAAAATTAACCAGATTTAAAAACATCAGCAAGTAAGTTAATTATCGATTAAGTTGGGGGGAGGGGGTGTTACACTGCTGTTACACTGCTGACCACTTTTTTAACATATGAAAGTGAATATATTCTTACTTAAATTTCTATGTTTTATTTTATTTACCATTAAACTATTTTTTTGTATTTTTTTCTTTATAAAAAAAGATAATAGTCAGACACTGTATGTGTTTCTTCAAATGAAAATTAAAAGAATTTATTGAATATTTCAATGTAACAAAAGCACACTGATGAATGCAAGATTTTTAACTGATATGTAGGAACAGAAACATGCACAAAACCTTAAATTAACATTTCGAATTCTTTAATACTCTTTTTAAATGAGCTTGAATTATTATATATACACATAAAAAGCTTTGTGAAATTGACCTGTTTAATTATGATTAATTAATTTAACTGTAGTGCTTAATGTTGTTTATTTATTGACCGAATGTCCTTTTCGAGGGCAAACTGGAATAAGAGTCCACCTGTCTTAAGTGGCCAGTTTCCAGACTTCCAAAAGCGGCCTCTTAAAACAAGTTTGACTGTACATGAATTTTGATGAATGTTGCTATATGAAATAATAAGGTAGGTGTCTTGTATGTGTTTCTTATATAAACTATTCAACGTTTATGGTTTTAGATGTTTGTTTAATATTAACATTGCTGCAGTGGACCTTCAAGGCAATATGTGCGGCAACTTTTATGTCAAAATTTTCTGTTGCAAAATTTTCATTTAACTATTTCAAGGACAGCGAAAAAGAACATTTATAAACTTCTGTTGTTAATATTTGTAGAAAAAGAACTATTTACAAGCTCCTAATACTGCTAAGGTATATATATTAAATATTGCATATGAAGAAAGGAAACAGTTATATTTGAAATTACCTGGAAAATTTTTAGAAATCATTATCCCTTGGGTAGGGTTTGCAACAATAATGGATCCAAGTTTTAAATTTTAAAAAAATCTAGAGCAACAATGTTATGATCAATCATATTTATATGAAGGTACCCTCAGGTAGTGTAGGTTTAAATCATGACCCCTTCGGAAATGTTGGGACCACGATATATTATCAAAGTTTTAGGAATAGATGCTAGGAGCGATTTATTTTTTCTGAATAAGAGCAAAGCCATGTTCTGTTATATTTGTAATATAAATATTATGTTAGCATCCTCAGGTAGTATAAATTCAACTGTTCAAACTATAACCCTGTCAGTAGGGTGGAGCTACAATAGAACATGAAAGTATTACACAGGAATATATCGGCAAGACCTATTTGAAGAAACTCCTCCAGATCAAAAGATCAGAAAAGACAGGATTCGTCATATTATATATGGAAGCATCTTGAAGTAGAGTAGCTTTATTTTTGTTGAAATCATGGCATCTTGCGATAGGGTGGGGCCAAATTGGACGATCAAAGTAGGTGTATATAGAAAATATATCTTTTTTGAGAACAGGAAAGTCTTGATTGTATATTCAGAAGTATCCTAATGCAGTGAAGATTCAAGTTTGTTCATATAAAGATCCTGGTAGTAGGATAGGGTCACAGTGGTTTAGCAAATACAAAGGGATACATAAGGATTTATTTAAACATTTACTTCTCAAAACATCAAAACAAAGATTGGTCATCTTTATTTGGATTGGTTACAGCATATGATTTTAACGTCCCATTCGAGACTTTTTCATTCAAAAATAATTGTCACCATATGACGGAGAAGGACCATATTCATATATAAAAGCATCCTCAGTTAGGGTTGATTCATATTTTTTCAAATCAGGAACTCGGGAGTAAGGTCGCATTTTAATAAAAGAAGATCAAACTGATAGAAAAAAAGTCACAGCTAGTCAAAGAAAAATATAAGCATCCCTAGTAGTCAAGTTTGTTCGAATATACTCATCTCTTCTTTTAGGGGACAACTTTGTCTTTATAATATGCTGAACTGCTTTCAGCCACAGTGCACAAATGAGTCGTGTTGCCCATGGGTCTCTTGTTTGCCGCCGTTTTCTAGTGGATTAATGTGGATATACTACTCAAAACGTGAAAATGAATAATGACCGATAAGCTCTATTTAAAAAAGGTATAAACAGACAAGTTAGAATATTCCCAATGCTTTTAAACTGAAAAATTCTGGTTTATGGTTACTCGATGAGTGTCTGAGCATTGGACAACCTAATAAAATTTTACAAACCTGTAATTTTGTTTTGGTCTGTTAAATTCTTACCTGTATAAAATATAAATACGTGTATTTTGATTGTGTAAACAAAAAGCTAATGGAATGTAGAATACATTTCTTTGAGCAAACTTAAAAAAATACGAAAAATACATTATATTAAGAAAAAAATCTACTCTTTGTTTAAGGCTAGAGGAACGTCATTATTATGCTATTATAATAAAATTGATATCTTTTCTCCATGAGAATTGTAATTGAAAACCTACGAAAACAGATAAACCTTGATATAGAAGAAGAAAGGGACATCCTAAAGAAATGCCAAGCATTCAAAGATACCAGTGAAAGTAAATTTGATAATATCATTCGTGAAATATCCACAAGGGAGGGACACATGGTCCAATCTGTACATAAAGCTGCAGAAAAAAGAAGATCAAAAGCGCTGAAAAAGAAAACAGAAATAAAGTCTGTAACTGATGAAAATACAAGTAAAATTTTAGATGTGGAACGACAATTGCAGCAAGTTATAAAAGAAAATGAGGAATGTTGTGTTCCAAAAATAGTATGGATTTCATAAACTACGAATCTGAACGGGAAAAGTTTAGGGAAGATGTTCTTTTCCCAAGGAATTCTATTCCTATGTTTATACCCGAAGGCTCTTTTGAACATCAAACATTGACACTTCTTGGTTCTTTAACATTTAAAGACGATGAAGAATGTAAAGATTTTGCAGTTGGATCGACAAATAAAAATGCGCCATTGGCTACCCTTCAGAGTCCGTATAATGAAGTATCTTGCGTGCGATTCAACAGTGCGGATGAAATATGGTTGAGTGGAAGAGGTTCCAATATCTACAAAGTGGACAACTCTAAACAAATCGTAAAGATTTAAGATCTTTTCTACGGCTCTGATGTCTGTAAATCTACTGCCTTATCAATTGATGCACAAGAACTATTTTTTTCGAATTCATCAACCGTGTACTCATTCAAAGTCACACGTTCCAGGGAGAACTTAACTTCTTGTTCCAATATTGGTTTGACTCTTTATGGTTCCTATTACATTAAGCATATGGATGTAAATAATTGGATTTTCAAAGGTCTTTGCTTAGCTAGAAATGGAGACCTTCTCGCTACTTTGCGCACTAAAGGAATGAGGCAAAGTAAGGTTGTGAGGTTCTCAGGATCCAAGGAAGAGCAGAGTATTCAATACGACAACGAATATATTGGCTACCCTTCAGAGTCCGTATAATGAAGTATCTTGCGTGCGATTCAACAGTGCGGATGAAATATGGTTGAGTGGAAGAGGTTCCAATATCTACAAAGTGGACAACTCTGGACAAATCGTAAAGATTTAAGATCTTTTCTACGGCTCTGATGTCTGTAAATCTACTGCCTTATCAATTGATGCACAAGGAGAACTATTTTTTTGAATTCATCAACCGTGTACTCATTTAAAGTCACACGTTCTAGGGAGAACTTAACTTCTTGTTCCAATATTGGTTTGACTCTTTATGGTTCTTATTACATGAAGCATATGGATGTAAATAATTGGATTTTCAAAAGTCTTTGCTTAGCTAGAAATGGAGACATTCTCGTTACTTTGCGCACTAAAGGAATGAGGCAAAGTAAGGTTGTGAGGTTCTCAGGATTCAAGGAAGAGCAGAGTATTCAATACGACAACGAATATAATTCTTTCCTCTCTATAGAGAAAAATGATGTTCTCTTCCTTACCACAAATTGTGAAGGAGATATCTGTGTAGCTGATTGGGCTGGGGAGGCAGTCGTGGTGTTCAATGCTCTTGGTTAATTGCGATTTCGGTATATTGAAAACGTCTCAGAAACAAAGCTTAAAAAGTTCAAGCCTTGCGACATTGCTACTGATGTTAACCAAAATTTGTTTGTATCTGACACTGAAAATAATTTAATCCACGTTATTGACCGAGATGGAAACTTGATCCGCCACATAGAACACTTAAGCGTTGGACCTCTTTGTATAAACTCGCAGGAAAATCTGGTTATTGGAAATATTAAGACCGGGCTTGTTCAGATAATTAAATACCGTGAGTGATTTATCCGTGAACATCTTCAATAGAACTGATTTTTTTTAACTTCGTAGCACAACATCAATATACTTGTTCAAAATGATTCTTCATAAGTATATGTACCGGCAAAAAATGACGTTTGTGGTAAACTGATCCAGAACAGCTGTGAAAGAAACATTTTCAGATTGCCGATGCTATTTTAGCATTATAACTATGTAAAAAAAAAACAAGTTCTTAAAAACAGTAAATTCACATTTCATAATGATTTCCAAACAGAGAGGAATAGCAGCAAAAAGATGTTCTTTTCTATAATACTGTTATTTTTCTTTCCTTCATTTGATTATGTAATATTTGTCTGTGGTAGCTGTAACGTTAAAGAGGCTGGGGGTGGCATCCATTTTCAGACTATTTCGATCTCCTTTAAAAGAAGAGCTCCATATAAAGATGTACAAAATGATCAAATTTTAAAGCTTGAATGTATGAATTTTTTCTTTGCCAAATGATAGTTGACAGCCTAAGATACCGTATCATAAAAAAATAAGTTAAATCTGATGGTTAAATTATGGTTAATTTTTTGAACCCCAAGCCTCCTTAATTCTCGTACTAACAAAGAAAGAGAGAGAGACATTTTATTGTTAGTATATATTCACATTTGGATGAAAAGAAATTCAAAGTAAAATAATAATTATGTTAAAATATTGTATTATAGACATATATGTCGCTGTAAGCATAACTGATGAAACAGCCATTGCTGAGGAAATCTGTGCAAAGTATTTTCTTGCTTAGGGTCATTTATGGACTGATTAACGGCAATGGCCTTCATAGGAAATTAAGGAAATTATATTCAGTGGACGGTCAAACACAACGAAATCAATATCCCCAACTTTCAGCGGAGGCCAAAAATTGACCACGGTAGATTTGTCCATACCCAACCCCAAACCGTTCGCCCCTACTCTTTTCAAGATTCCGGGATCCGACAACACTGATATGCATTTTATAAGAAATTCTGCACTTTTCCAGAGACAATATTTTTTTACTTGCAAAAAAAGCATTCGAGTTCAGAATGTTCTGTCAATAAATGAATGGCAGCATAGGTTGAGTATGTAATATACAAAGTGTCAAAAAGCGATGTTTTTAAGATAAAAAATATTACATTACTTGTTTGATGACCATTTCACTTAATTAAAGTACAGATGTGTTGTGATATAGAAGACTAATTCAAGAAAATGTACACATTGTTTGAATTTTACTTTTGTGCTATTTTCACCAATTGTAATTTTAAACAAATTATGATATAATTTTTATTTTGCCTGCGGAGCAGAGCGGCACAAAGGGATCACTTTCCCGATGTCTAGCTAGCTGTCTGTCAGGCTGTCTAGCTGTCCGTCTATCACACCTTCTTTCTCAAGAACTCTAAGAGATATTGACTTCACATTTTGCACATTTATTGCTTCGCACAATGGCATTTGTAAATTGACATGGTTATCGACCTCATGGCCCTTGATCTTATTCTTTTACCAAATTTACTAAAAAATTAAAAATGCCAATATAATAATATTTTTGTCATTTAAGAGGTATTATAAATGCTATTTATCATGTGCTCTTATTGTCATAAAACACAATGAATAATACCAGCGTTACAATTCACTTGGTTTGAACATATTTTATTGCACTAAATATATACAATGGGATTGGGCACAAGTTCTAATAAACTTAAATCGCCTTCTCCCTATTCACTTGACCTTGACATTTGACCTACTTTTCAAAGAATACCCTGCATTTATGAACTATCATGCTAGATTGTCTTTTGCATGAAATACTGTTTATGCTAGTAGAATATAAATAGCTGACCACTTTTAGATTGAGTTACATCTTCAAAGACGCTAAAAGCAAGCGACACATGCTTTCCTTGGAACACTCTAGTTTTAATACTCTAGCGCTTTTACATAATTAACACTTGGTTATCAAGCTATGTCATCAAGCTAGTATAGGGGGCATTTTTTAAGCTAAACACATCTAGATCTTGATGATTTTATCTATAAGTTTAAAAATTATTCACAGAATAAAGCAATACATGTTATTTAAAAGAATAATAAAAAAATAATAATGGCGTCTTTATTGAAATACTTCATTAGATATAATCATATTTTGTCTTTATAACTGTATAGAACTCTAAAGCGTTTCATCAGTAAAACGTTTTTCTTTATAACTGTATAGAACTCTAAAGCGTTTCATCAGTAAAACGTTTTAACTTTTTTATTGTTATTGTTATTTCTTAAAATATGAAATGAAAAATCAAGTTTCATTCAAAGGTCATCCAAAGCCGAAATCAGATTTAACCTGAGGTCCATGGGCCACATCGCTCACCTGTGCACATTGGCCAGGTGAAAACACAAATTGGCTCAGTATTGAAAAGTTTATTTGGGGAAGGCGGGACTTGAACTTTATAGTACTTGAGAATGTCACCATATCAAAAACATGAATAACGTTGCCGTAACATTGTTGAAAAGAAAAACAAAAGGATTTACTGCATATTACTTTGTAAAAAAAAAAAATGATTTCCTAATTTGGTACCCCCAGGGTCATGATTTAAAAAAAAATGAACCTTCACTACATGCAGATGCTTACAGGTCAAATTGAAAAGGCATAACTTTTTCTGTTCTGGAGAGGAGGATTTAGGATTTTTTCTTATATATTCTTATGTAAAGCCTTCATCCTTCATAGTGGCTACACCCTAAAGCCGGGGGTCATGATTTGAACAAATGTGAATCTCAACCACCATAGCATATATCCATTATAGTTCCATATAAAAAAATCAGTAAATATGGATTTGTTGCTCCCAAGAACTTTTTAAAGATATTTGAATATATATTCCTATGTAGAATGTGTCCCAACCCTATCCGCAAGAATTCTGCTTTGAACAATATTGAATCTACACTACTTGAGGATGCTTTCATATAAATATTACCAATCACTGAATTATGGTTTTACTGTTCTTGAGAAAAGTATTTTTAAAGATTCTTCCTATATATTCTTAAGTAAAACCTTGACCATCCATTGTGGCCCCACCCTACCCATTCATATTTTATGATTCATACTAAACAATTTTGGACTACTTAGAATGGAGACATTACCAATTATCAGGTCTGAGAAGAGTTGTCACCCGAGGGCGCTTGCTATAATATTTTTATGATCTTGAAGAATCTAGATTATCAATTAAATATTTAGAGTAGAAAATAGTAATCAAACCTCTTGTGCTCCCCTACTCTATTCTGATTCAACTCTTTCAAAATATGCAAATAGACAACTTTTACGTCATCGTTAGAATTTGTGGTTTACCGATCCTGCATATTTAGCAATTGTACATTTTAACTATGAATAAGAGTTTTCTTCGCTGAAACCACTGTAATTTCATTCAAAGGGTGACAACACAGTTTTAACTGTGCATGCTTCCTTCAGCAATTTCATTGTCATCTGAAGGGTGACAACAGTTGTCACCCGGCGCGTGAGGTAAATATCACGAATTGTCATACCTCATGTGATATGGTTTAAACCAATCAGATTCACTGTATAATTCTGAAGAATACCACGTAATAATATAAATTATCTCATAACAAACACTGTCAGTTAATGCGTGTAAAAAGTAATAAATCAATCAGTTATTACCTGTATTTCCTAACTAAAAGACGCCAAAATATGGCTAAAGTATTGCCGACTCGGCGTTAAAGAATATACATGTACAATCAATTCTAAATAATAACAGTTGATATAAGTACGCTGTATTTTCTAAGCAGAATAAGAATTGAAATTCCTGATACACATATTTATTGTTACATATACATATATCACGTTTTTATGGATACCTGATAGAAGTGATTTCTTTTACACAAATGAAAAAACAAGATTGGAATTAAATAGTATAGTATTTATAAATCAATAAATAAATAAATAAATAAATAAGCAACCAATTAAGGATATCCGATCCTCAGCCAGGAAGGATAACTCCAAAAATTAATAATTAATTTGAAATGCATTAAAATGAAGCTTGAAAATGTAACTTTTTTTCATGCAACAATTTTCATTTTATTAATCTTTATATAAGATTCAAGGGTTTTGGAAATCTTAGAAAAGGACTTATGAAAGTTGATATTTGTACCCTATAAAAGAAAAAAAAAATAATACAGTTTTAGAGAAATAAGATTTTCTTGAATCCAGGCTTAGATACCAATGCTTATTAGCATATGAAATACGAAGTGATTTGTGGTGTCTTGCAATGATAGCAAAAGCCTTTTACACTATTTACTATAGAATATATGATGGAAATAGAAGACAAAAAATACCAAATAAGTATAAAAATCATGACAATTTCTCTGAATGCCTGGATACCTATCGTTTTTAAACCTAAAATATATTTGTTGATCAATTTGCAATTAGAAAATACATTGCAGATATTCCAATTCGCTTTTTTTGCAAAAATATTGGAGATTTGGCAATTTCCCCTATATAATATGATTAACTTTAATCTTTAACTCTAAAGAAATACTGTGGACAAATTTCAAACGCATATAGCAGAAACAGTCAATGAATAAGTTTTGCAAGTATACTCCGAAACAGGTGCACCAGAGTTCTTACTTACTCCTCTAATAATACACTACATACAAGATAATGTCCGTAAACTATATTTAGATTTCACTCGGATAGTAAGTATCGTACATAAAATTAAATGTCTACTTCAATTTTCTGTAAATAACAATGAAATGGCATC